TTGGCCACCAAGGGGCTATAACGATGGCATTGGTTTTGTCTTGTTGCACATGGGCCACAACTTTGTGGAGGAGCGAGAATGGCGTAAAAAGGTAAGTAAGGGTTTTGGGCCAACGGCCGACAAATGTGTCTCCTTGGGAGTGTTTGCCGATTCCCGCTCAGGAGCAGTATAGTTTGCACTTTCGATTCGTTTGGGAGGCGTAGAGGTTGAGAGTTGATGTGCCGCATTTCTGGCAAAGTTAACTAAATACTGATTGATCTAGTTCCCGCTCATGATCTTGGGCATTTGTGCAGCTGAGCAAGTTTGCTGGGTTGTTGTCTTGACCAGCAATGTGTAAAGCCGTGAGACAGATGTGATGTTGCAGACACCACTCTCAGAGGTTGACTGCCAAGTAGACGAGACTTGGACAGTGGGTATTGCCTTGTTTGAGGATGTAGTACATTGCTGTGGTGTTGTCGGTGGCAATCTGTACCATTTTGCCTACAAGGTTCCTGAAAGCTCTACAGGCTTTTATGACTGCCAATAGCTCCAATTTGTTTATGTGGAGCAATTTCTCTCTGTGAGACCATTTGGCATGAATCTTGAGGGATTTGAAGTGAGCCCCCCAGGCCATCTGGCTAGCATTGGTAGTAACCTGTATTTGTGTATGCAGTTGTTGAAACAACCGCCTGACAAAAAGGTTGGGAGGAAAAGGCCACCACTGAAGTTGGGAGGCGAGCTCTGGAGAGAGTGAGGACGGTCTGTTAATGGATCGAATAGGGCAAGAAACCAGGATTGGAGAGATCTCATTTTTAGCTGTACATGTTGTACAACTGATGTCACGGAGGCCATGGTGCCTAGAATCCATTGTACTGTCATAGCGGGTATTAAGGCATGAGAAGTGAAACCCTGAAGCAAGGTAATCAAGTTTTGTCTCTTGTCCTTAGGGAAAAAGGGCCAGGCTTGCATGGAATCTATGAGTGAGCCTATGTAATGTACAGTCCTTGTGGGTTTTAAACTTGATTTCTGTCTGTTGACAGTAAGACCAGGATTGCGAAGCAGGGCGAGGGTGAAGTGGGTCTCTCGTTGAGCTTTGTGATGGGAGTATGCTACTAGGAGCCAATTGTTGATATATGGAAAGATGAGAATGTTTTGGAGTCTTAGGTAAGCGGCTACTGGTGCCATGCACTTGATGAATACTCTTGGGGCTGTTGCAAGGCCGAATGGGAGCCTTTTGAATTGGTAAGTGTGTGATCCTAGTTGAAAATGGAGGAATTTTCTGTGTGTGTGATGTATTGAAATACAAAAGTAAGCATCCCTTAGGTCTATGACGGTGAACCAATCGTTCTTTTGAAGTAAAGGAAGAACTGATTCTAGGGTAACCACACAGAATTTTGTGGCAATGATGTATTCGTTTAGTCCTCTGAAATCTAAGATAGGGTGAAGGCCTCCATCTTTTGGGGGGACGATGAAATAGTGAGAGAAAAACCCATTATTGTTTTGATAAACAGGTTGTATGGTGTCTGAGAACATGGTTGATAGGACAGGAGTCTGACATCATCAGAGAGTTGTTGAGGCTGTGGAGGGATGACCACAGGCTTAGACTGTTTGACTCTTTTTGGAGGAGAAGGTTCTGGGGCTGAAGAAGCTTTGGCAGGTCTTTGACATTTAGTGGAAGTTTTCGACGTCGAGGACTTCGACATCAAGGGTTTTGACTGGTGTGTCTTAGAGATCTTGGACGATGTATAGATGGAGCATCGGAGTGAGATGGTGTAGCTGATGAACACTGTTTTGATGATTTGGTAACAGCTTTTTCCATTGCTTTTGTTTGAGAAGTGGCCTTACACAGGGGTTGGACCATTTTAATTGGCTGCAAGGATTGTTCCCAAAGTCGAGGTTTTAGCCTAGAAAGGCGGGATCGCAGAACTCGACGTTTGAAATTTTTGCAATGGGTACAGGAGAAAGTTTGATGTTCTTCTCCTAAACAGAAAAGGCATTTAGTGTGTCCGTTGGAAAGTGGAATTTTGTTTTCACAGACAACGCAGTGCTTAAACGGGCCCAAAGGGGCCATAAATTTAGAGAAAAACAATTTAAGAAAAAATTGGGTTGGACAGGGAGGGAGGCGGCTGGGAGGCCGATTGTGGAGAAGAAAAAACTAATAAAAGTATTTGGAAACTTTCAGTTGTAAAAAGAGAAGTGAAATAAAAATGAAAAGGAATCAAGATTAAGCTCTCTTTCACTTTACTCACAGAAGCAGAACGAACTATGAGGCTCTCAACACGGCAGTTGAAAGAAACTGAAAGGGGATGCTTGGCTCCACAGTACTTATACAAGGGGGGAGGGGCTTATTCTAATGTATTTATTGCTACCGCAGAAGCTCTAGAACAGGGGTGTCCAACCTTTCACCTTCCCTGAGCCACATTAGAAGATGAAAATTTGGTTTGGGCCACACATACATTTGGTTTGGGCCGCATGGGGGAGGCAGCCCTAGCCGTCCTCCGCAGCCCCGCTCCAAGCGTGCTTATCGGCAGCTGCGATCTCAGACAGCAGAGGCTGCCAGCTTCGACTCCGGTGGCTTTATGGGGCCGGGAGGGGGTCCACCTATTGATGGGGATGGTGCAATGCAGTCACGCAGCCCCCCTGTCCCCTCCCCTCCCCCTCCTTCCTTCCTTCCCTCTCTCCCCCTCTACTGTTGTGACATGCCCCGGCCACATTCTGGCCGCAAGCACCAACAGTGTAACTTGAAACTTTGGAATTTCTTTTAAAATAAAAAATTGCCCTGGTCCGCATTAAAAGCTGACCTGGGCCGCTTGCAGCCCTCAGGCCGCAGGTTGGACAAGCCTGCTCTAGAATCTTCCAGTGAGGCTCCGCATCACAGAGGCCATGAAGAAGAACCAATAGCTTGAAGGGAACAGTTTTTAGCCCACTGTTGACTTGCTCTATGGCAGTTTGTTTATTAATTTGTGTGTGTGTTGAATGCCTTCTCTGATTCACTGATCATAGCCTTTTTTTAAACGCAACTTATTCTTTTTGCAACTCGAAATGCCTCTGTCTCTCCCAGATGTAACCTTTTGCTCATTCTGTGCTTTTATCTTTTACTTTCCTTTAATAAAGTCTATAGTCAGTCTGTTGGGTCTGACTGGTTTTCCTCAGAGCACTCCTTGGCAAACTCTGACCATTAACTACCCATATTGTCTATGCACATGAACAGAGAACACTTAAAAGTTTTATCTTGAACAGGGGATGGTGGCAGCTGTAGCTCTTTCCCCTGGAGCCTTAGTGAGACTAGGTCATGGACTAGGGTGCCTGTCAAGGATACCCTTATTAATTAAAATGAATTAATTTAATTATCAAGGATCCAAGGTGGCTTGCATCCTTAAAAGACAATATTCAATGCTAAAAACAATAAGTATACAAATATTAAAAAGGAACAAGCAAATACTATTCTGAGGAATGGTAATTAAAAGCAACACTAAAAGCATTCAGAGCAGGAAGATTTTAATCCGTTTAAAAACCCCTCTCTGACCATTAAGGGAAAGCTTGCCTGAAGAGAAAGCCCTTTTGCGTGCTTGTGGAAGGAGAGCCAAGATGGCCTCCAGTGGGAGGGAGCTCCACAGTCTCTTGGGAGCAGCCACCGAGGAGGCCCTGCCCTGTATTTTCACCAAGCATGCCTGTGAAAGTGGTGGGATCGAGAGGAAGGCCTCCTCCAATGATCTCAACACCCGAGCAAGCTCAACACATTCTTTTAGATAGCTTGGACCCTAGCTGTATAGTGCTTTACGGGTTAAAACCAGCAGTTCGGATTGTGCCTGGAAACAGATCGGCAGCCAGCAGAGCTGCTGTAACAAGGGGGTGGTTCTGCGATCCTGGTGACCAGCCCCAGTCGAACAAGAGTCGCCCGGCACCATTTTTCTGAGTCCTCTCTTCCAGGAAGGCCTGGAGCCCCGCCGTTCAATGGAGCCCTCACGTCCCCTCTCAGAGATGTGGGCCAGAAGGAGGCCGCGGTCTAGGGTACCGAAAGCCACAGAGAGGGTTCAGCAGAACCGGCAGGGACACCCTTCCCTTGTGCAGTTCCTGGCGTAGGTCGCCCACCAAGGGGGCCAAAGCAGACTCTGCCCCATAACCAGTCCTGAAGCCAGACTGAAAGGGATCTCAGTCATCCATCTCGTCCAGGAGCCCCTGGAGCTGAGAAGCCACAACCAGCTCCAGCCCCTGGTCCAAGACTGGGATATTAAATAGTGAATGGTCAGGGTGCTAGTTTCACAGAGCCCGCTGGAGAAAAGATCTCGCCGAGGGGGATTCCACCACGCTAGTCCACCTACATTACCTCTTACCGTACAGACAGGACAAGCTCCCTACCTTGCTAGCACCTCTGTCAGCTTTTACATATACAGGCATTTGAGATCTGTGGGGCACAGGGGGAATGCAGATCCTAAGCCATGCTCAGTGACTTAGTGCACTTCCTATAAAATTTTGGTTCAGTGTAAAGGGATGAGACTAAGAGCAGGGTTGTAAGTAAGAAGTTTGACTCTCAGAGCAGGAGAGCTGAAGCTGTAGCTGCTGTTGGCAGTTGGACTACTGAGGCCCTTGTCAACTTTATTAGGTATGATTTTTAGATGTTTGTGTTGGAAGAGTGAATCCACATAGTGAACTTGTGAATTGCATACAATTGCAATATTTTATTTTAGGGTTTTGAAGATTCTCCTGTGTTATGGATGCCTGACCCAGTTGAGGATGATACCCTGAATTTTTGTCTGACTTCAAAGGGATACTTGAACTGTGCAAATTCTACACACACCTTCTGTATTGGTGCTGCTACCAAGGGCTTGGGTGCACGAATTGTAGCATTTTGCTGTTATACTTGCCTGTGTTGTCTGCTATATGAATGCAAATAAGAAGAGACTTATTTTGTGAAACCGTGTTTACAAGATTCATCCAAAGTAAGCAAATAGACCCACAGAACATGAAACTGTTACATTAGCACTGGTCAATATGATTGGTATCTTAAATTCTTTACTCACCAGCCTGCGGTGAACTCCACGTGTGCATCGAAGAAGCCGGTGATCTGACCAGATGCAACTTTCCACCCTTCAATGCGCGCTCGGATCAGGCCTTCTCTTTTTCGGTTGCGCACCACCTTCACAAGGTCAGGGTATCGCTTGCTGACATACTCCTCCAGCGGTGCCTTGAGTTCCTCTGGAAGAAGAACAAATGAAAACTGATCAGACCGAGGGGTTTCCTGGACCTGAGGACATGAGCAAGTCTTAGGGGAGGTTCTCCACAATTGATTAAATGTGTGGAAGAATAAGGAAGGTTCTTATTTGCCACCTGGCAGTTTCTTGCCACCTTCTTCTTACTTTCCCCCCCTGTTTCTTTGTATTTTAGGAGTTTTGTAATTTTTGCTTTGCTTTCTGTACACTGTGCAGAGTCACAATTTGCTAAAATGGACAGGATAAAAATTGATTGATTGATTGAATGAATGAATGAATGAATGAATGAATGAATGAATGAATGAATGAATGAATGAATGAATGAATGAATGAATGAATGAATGAAGTGCCAGGGCTACAGGCTGGAATAGACCCTGGCCAAACTTTACTGATGACTTATATTTAACCTGTACTGTTGTACTCAAACTTCTAAATTCTGGCCTTTCTTCATCAGGGAGTTGAAGAAATCTCACCACTGTGAAGACTCCAGTTGAGACTGCCCTTCTTAGCAAGGGCCGCTGTTGACTTGTGGTGTCTCTTTAAGGTCCTATTTTGTCCCTTATATCAGTGGTCCTCAACCTTGGGCCTCCAGATGTTCTTGGACTACAACTCCCAGAAGCCTTCACCACCACCTCTACTGGCCAGGATTTCTGGGAGATGAAGTCCAAGAACATCTGGAGGCCCAAGGTTAGGGACCAGTGCCTTATACTATTTATCATCTCCATGAAACCATGGGGAGAGGTTGCCCAGAGTTTTGGGGTTCAGTGTTGATTTAAAACATAACCTGCACATTTGCATTGTTTCCACAACCAGGCAGCCTTTTCCTGACTTTTTTCCTGAACTGTAAGATACCACAGAATGGTTGATCAGGGCATCAACTAAAGACCAATGTGAGTTCTCGGACATCATTGACTCTTCTACATCAAACAAGCAGTACTGCATGCTAAAAAGAACATCCATCCACCAGGTAAAACTATCTATTTGGCTTACATTGACTGTTCCTGGTTACAGTGGTGCCCCGCTTAACGATTACCCCACTTGACGACGAATCCGCTTCATCGCGATGTTTTTGAAATCACTATTGCGATCGCAAAATGATGTTTTAATGGGCAAAATCCACTTTGCAACGATCGGTTCCCTGCTTCGGGAACCGATTCTTCGCATTACACCAATCAAAACAGCTGATCATTGGGTTTTCAAAATGGCCACCGGCTGTTCAAAATGGCTCCCCGCTGTGTTCAGGATGGATTTTTCGCTGCACAGGCATCAGAAAATGGCTGCCCTATGGACGATCTGCGCTGGACGCTGAGGTATTTCGCCCATTGGAACGCATTGAACTGGTTTTCAATGCATTTGAATTGGCTTTTTCTTTCGCTTGACGAGGATTTCGCTCTGCAGTGATTTCGCTGGAACGGATTATCCTCATCAAGCAAGGCATCACTGTAGTTTAACTAAATTCCTAATCCCATATCGGTTAGAGGCAGGCCACACCACCGGGCAGTCTTTCTTCCCCTAGATAAAGATAAACTCTTTGAGTTTCAAAAAGGCAGAAAGGAAGAAAGAGAGGGGGGTCAGATTGCTTGTGACTGTCCTCTGTTTTAAGAGATGGGCCATAAATTCCAAACTGCTAGCTGAGGAGGATCTGGAAATCAACATGCGGGCTGCAGCTATTTCCGTCGAAGAAGCTCACGTGACCTCTACACCATCAGCCATGGGAATCTAGAACACTAAAAACAGCACTTAAGTTTGGAACTGTCCACAAGAACTTGATGCACAGCCTTGAAGAAGATGATTTTATCACTGAAAGCTTGCTATTTTTAAAACATTCTTAACGGTTGATTAAAGGTATCACCTGTTTCTGCACCAGTAGGCGGACAACACCCAACTCTCTCTCCCTTCCGTCGAAATCCAAGGAACCTCTCTCGGTTCTAGACCAGAGTCTGGTGTTAGGAATGGACTGGAGGAGGGTGAATCGACTGACATGGAATCCAGACCAGACAGAGGGGTTCCCGATCCACTGAAAGGCAGATCAGGGAATAAGGATGCTGCCTGTGCTGGAGGGGGTTACGCTCCCTCTGAAAACACGAGGGCAGTTTGGCGGAGGGCTCCTCCTGGATTTGTCTCCAAGCCAGGATGCCCAGGTTTCGCCAGGAGTGCCTTTGTACAATTAAAACGAGTGTGCCAGCTGCGCCCGTTTCTTGAGAGGGCTGATCTGGCATCTTTACATAAGAAACAACCTCCAAGTGCTTACATGTGAAACTCCTTGCTCGATTTAAAACAAGGAGAGAAAGTGGGAGAAGACCAAGGAAAAGGGAGGATTCTTACATGCCACAGAGCCTGAATTAGGACAGAGAGTTTTCACTAGTCATCTGGTTCAATCCTATTGCATGCAAAGTTCCTATGTATTGAACATGAAGCACCTTACTTTATTGAATATGGGGGAAAAGATGAATGTACAGTGGTGCCTCGCTTAACGATGTTAATTGGTTCCTTTAAAAAATCGTTACGTGAAAACATTGTTAAGCGAAACACCATTTCCCATAGGAATGCATTGAAAACCGGTTAATCCGTTCCAACTGGAACAGATTGCCATCCTTAAGCGAAAATCGGCATAGGAAACATCGCTGAGCGAAACGCGGTTCCCCATTTGAAATGCACTGAAACCAACTCAATGCATTTGAATGGCTTTACGATGTCCGTTTTCGCTCCTTTAAAAGTGTCTTAAACTGTTTGAAATCGGTTTTAAATGCTTGCGATCGTTAGTCCACCTTGTGTAATGTATGCAAACTTAATTTGGTGTTATTCTGAGTCTTCGTTAATTTTTGGTGAATGTTTTTCTCTCTCATTGAAAAGCATTGGACATTAGAGAACATCGTTAAACGATGCGGAAAATTCCTAAAAGAAACCCATCGGTAAGTGAATTCTTCGTTAAGTGAGGCAATCATTAAGCGAGGCACCACTGTATTTGTTACTGGTTGTGGCTTATTGTGGCTAGTTGATATGATGTCTGGACACAACTTGATTGTATGCCTTCCCATGTGCACCACCGGACAACTGAGATGCAGCCCAGCAGCTTACCAATTAGCCTCAATTAGCTGTGGCAAGGTATGCAAACCCTATGCAAGCACCAATTGGAATCTGGCTAGGGAGCCTGACACCGAGGGAGGTCCAGAGGGAAAAGACACGAAGCCGGGCCTTCTCAGCGATGGCTCCTCGCCTTTGGAACAACTTTCCTCCAGAAATTCGCGAGGCCCCAATGCTGGGTACTTTCAAATGCCAACTGAGAACATGGATATACATCCAGGCCTTCCCTCCTGTCAACTACTGATTTCTTTGCTTTGCTATTTATTATTACTTATTCCTGCACTATTTGTTATCGCTGTATGCTAATATTTTTATGTTTTTTAATTGTTTTTGATATTCTGTAAGCCGCCCAGAGTGGTAAAATATACCAGATGGGTGGGATATAAATCGAACAAATGAATAAATGAATAAATGGCCATAGTGTACTTCTTTTCAAAGTAAATCAATCAAAAGCCCAGAAGCCAGCATTTCAATTTGAGCTTTCCCGCAATCCCAGTGCTTTCTGGGAAATTAAAATGGCAGTGCTGAACCTGGCCAGTGATCATTATCCTACTACTGTTGGTTTCTAAGCTGGAATGGGATCATGCAATTAGGTGGATGCCTGCCACAGGACATAAACCTCTCCTCCTTTATCCAAGTTTGTCACTGTGTGGAGACTTCCAAATACTTGGAAGGGCAGGATCTGTTCTCCATCATCCCAGGGTGCAGGACAAACAACCATGGGCTCAAGTGACAGGAAGCCAGATTTAGGCTGACTATCAGGAAAAACCTCCTAACTGTTAGAGCAGTACGACAGTGGAACCCAAGATGTCAGGAGGTGTTCAAGAGACAACTGCCTGGCAGATATCCTTTGATTTGTACTCCTGCCTTGAGAGCAGGGAACGGGGCTAGATGGCCTTTGAGGTCCCTTCCAACCCCATGATTCTATGACGTTTCTCTCAGAAGTCTGCTCACCTTCGTCACTGTTGTCGTCTACAAGAATGATTTCTTTCAAGAGGTGAGCAGGAGTATGATTCACTGCGCTGTGAACAGAACGCAGAATAACCGACAATGCCTCATTCACAAAGATAAATATAATAGAAATCTGTGGAAGATCCTTTGGGTACTTCAGCTCTTTACACCTGAGAGAGAGAGAGAGAGAGAGAGAGAGAAGATTAAGCAGAAACTTGACCTAGTTTGTACAACTGCAGGAAGCAAAGAACACGCGCACGCACGCACGCACACACACACACAAAGAATCCATTAGTGATCTGAGCTAGAGATGACCAAGTTACACAGTTTACAGTCCATATTGCAGGTCTATGTACCCCATACTCTGGGCTAGCCTAGAGGGAAAAATCCTTATCCAATTTTACATTTAAAGGATGTATTTTTATACCAAAAATTGCATACATTTTTGTAGAATAGACCACAAAACACGTATCTCAACAGCAGGGTGGGTTTTTTTTAAAGCTAAGAACTTCATCTGAATCTGTCAGGGTAAATGATGATGAAGAAATAAATCTGAATTGGCAGATTGGAGGTGTGTTATCAGGTCAGGTTGATTTTTTAAAAAGAGGATCCTTCTTTTTAATGTTTAAATCGTTCCAGCATCTTTGTTGAGGACTGCAGCTGAATTCATCTAACTCTTCTTGTGGGACTAGGCAAAAGCTGGAATATAAAACATAACAGAATGGAAAGACGTGGAACAGGGATGTCTTATAAAAACTGATGCCAAAGACAGTGAGATGCAATGGGGAAAACATCCGAACAGTATTTTACGACCTCAAACATAAAATAACTGCACTTTCATTATTGCCCCCAAACCCAGAAAAACAGCCCAGAATTGGGACTTCTGAGTGGGGCAGCCCAGCCAGATTCACCCTTCCCATCTGACTAGGGGGGACCGATGCAACCAGCCCAAACATCCCCCCAGGAACAACATTCTGGTACCTCTTCTGGGCAGAAAACCCACATTTCAGTCATCAGTCCAGAACAACTGCTGAGTAGGACAGCTCAATGAAAATGGCCCACGGTGGAAGAGAAATGAAACAAAAAGAGGAACAGCTGGAAGGCGCAGAACAGCAGCTCCCTCCCTCCCAGTCTTCTCTTCTCCAGGATAAGCCAAAGGGATGGGCCTGGGATGGATAGGCAGAAAACATACAGTCCCAACCTCTGTCTGTGTGGACGGTGGTTCCTGTGAAGCATCAGTGGTTGGATGGATTACTCCAGTCCAGTCCTACGTGATGGCCGAATTGGTTGCTATCACCAGCTCAGAAGCAGCTGTTCATGGGCCTTTTCATCCATGTGAAACTTAGACCCAGAACAGATCCGAGATTCCTGAAGCCATATGGTGCTGGCTGGATCTGTCCCCTCTATCGCAATGGGACGGGTGAACTTTGGCAAGTGTAAGTCTGGGCTGTCTTGCATAATTTGAGTTTCCTGCCTCAAATGTGCTTCCTGGTGACATCATTTCCAAGGTTGGACTCAACAACCTTAGAAGCCCCTTTCAATTGTATTATTCTGATTCTCTGTGGATATCACTGTTCATGGCCATACAGTGCAATACAGATTTTCTGACTGCAATGGGTACCTGAATGTGGTCACTGGGGGTATTCTGTGGTTTGCTGCATGCCCCCTTCCTCATTAGGTGGGAGATAAGAGTTTCATTGGACTGTCCTGCTCCAGAACTGCTGTTCCAGGCTTCCTCCGCCATCCTACAACATTGTATTATAATATATATATATTGGCCTGGAGTGGGTACTGGAACGTTGTACTTGGAGTGTTTAGGGGCTGGTTGTACCAGTCCCCCTCTAGTTGAATGGGTTAGGGTGAATTTGGTTGGGCTGCCCTATATGTTCCAGGCTGTTTTGTCCAACATCAATTTTCTGCCTGAACCAGGCACTGGAATGTTGTTCCCATGGGCGTTTTGAGGATGATTCCATTACTCTCTTCTGGTTGGGTTTATTGGGTGAATTTGGTTGGGCTGATCTTCAGTCAGAGAAGATAGCTAGTTCTCCATTGGCAGAGAGAGGCTTGTGTGGGGGAGAACACTCTTCTCCACGTGTTTTTTTTAACACTGCTTAGATCCGTTTGCCATTTAGATTAATTAAAACACGGCAAATGAAGCAAATGAGATTGGCTCTATAAAGGAAGTCAACTGAGAACTTAGAGCTGCAAAGAATCTCTTGCTTTTAACTTTGTTTCTTTTAATACTGTGAGCTCTCTTGAAACCTTTGGGAGAAAGGTGGTACCTAAATATTTCAAATAATAAATAAATAAATAGACCACAATGTTTGGAAACCAAACAAATGGCCAAAGAGGAAAATGAAACATGTCAAAAATTAAAGAGCTTGAAGATATAATGTGTAAAAGAAATAGGAAGAGAAATAGAAAACATTTCTCTAGATAGAAGAGGTGAGATGGGAAACTTAAAAGCTGAAATGAAATAAAACTCACAGAAAATACTTTCAGATCTTAAGTCTGATTTAAATAAGGCAATGACCAAAGTTGGGAATGAGATGAAACTCATGGTTACCAACTTCAGGAGACAGAAGAAATGATTGAATCAAACATACTGAAGATTTATGGCTAAGAAATGAATCTTCAGGAGATACAGAAACAAATAATTGATGTGAGTGATCAATCAAGATAAGAGAATATAAACATTCATGGAATGTCAGAAGGAACAGATTGTGGGAAGCTCCTGTCCGAGGCCATTAGCTGTTATCTGTTTTCAGTGATGAGCAAACTCTCCTGGCAGAGAGCAGCAGCTGCCAGCAGGCAGGGTGACCCACTCATTCTGCCTTTTCCCTTAGAGTTAGGGCATAGGTTCAAAGTCTCCCACCAATCCTAGTGGAGATTAGGTAACCAGTATCCTATCTGGATTCTCACAACATACGATGTAAGCCTTGCTAAGTTAATAAAAAGAGTTCTCAAGGCATTGCCTTTGAACTCCGCTGGATCAGACATCTGTTGTCAACACTTATTTACAACTCCTCTAAAGGCTAATTGCTTTCTTAATTATTCTGTGATCATTAGTTCACTAGTTTTCCTTTTGCTCCGTAATCACCTACAACAGATAAAGGGGGGGGGGGAGAAATCTTGCAGAGGACATGTTAGGATGGTTAAAAACAAGGGTGCAGGAAATAAACTTGTCAAGAAAGGATATTGAAAGATGGCATTAAATTGGTCTTAAAACAGGTTCCAGGATGTTCTCAAAGATTTCTGAGTTACTACAAAGAAAAAAAGAGAGAAATTACCTTAGGAGCATCAGAGGAAAGGCGGGTATGCTGAAATATAAAGAAGCAATGATAACAAATCTCTCCTGATATACAGTATGTTTTGAACCGTTAAAAAGGAGACATTTGATGAAGCCAGCAACAACCATTTTGAAGAAGAATGACGTTGAATGCAACTGGGCATACCAAGTTCTTACGAGAGTCTTGTATAGAAGGAAATGTTACAGATTAGAGTCTTGAAAGAAAAGACTGAATTAGCTGTTAAAAAAATTGGAATTATTGATACAAATCAGTAGATGGAAGAATTGGAAAAACTGGATGAGAATCAAGAAAACACCAGTTCCAGTTCAGAAGAAGATGGATCAGAACTTGGGCCCAATGGAAAGGTTGTGACGTCAATGTCAGATCACACCAACAGTGTGACAGGAGGACTTTAAACAGAGATGGCAGTAAGGAATAGGAAGAGAAAGTGAAGAAAAGAAGGCTGTGGTTCCACGGCGAAAGGCTGAAAATTCCATCCCATTCTGGTCTGTGAAGAATTCCCAGAAAAAAATATATACTGTATATATAAACTGCTGGGAGTTGGACTGAGAAAGTGCAGAATACTGTGAGTTAAACAAGGTGGAAGAGACGAAGAGGTTTCAACTTTTGAAAATAGCCCTTCTTGGAGGACAGAAGGGGGAGGGAGGAGAAAGTAATATAACTTCAGCCTTTGAGTTATTATTTGAAGAGTCCTCCCCCACTAGTTTACCAAAAGAAAGAGAGGAGAAGCAAGGATTAAAGCTGGAACGGATAAGAACCAGTTTAGCTGATGCATGATTTGGGCAAGCTGTTTAACAGAGTTTAACCGCGAAACGGAAGCTAAATTGATTAAGTTCTCCACACTTAGATATTAGACACAACAATGTTAAGCAGGGGTTAGGAAAAAAATTGGGATCATCTGGGGTTTGCGACTGGAATAGATTATGCACTTGATAAGAACAAAGATCTGACTGATAAGAGCTGTTGTGTGACATGAGGGAACCTGCCCCAAAATTCTTTTCCTCATCTGTTTTCACATTGGAAGAAAATGGATACTAACAGTATATAGAGATAAATATAAAATTGAGAATATACAGAAAAAACGACGCTATAGAAAATTAATGAAGAAGGAGGTGGATAAGCAAATTTAATATAGAATACCAAAGGGTCAGAGAAAGTGTATTTTTTTAAAAAGGGAAAAAAGGATTAGAGATTTAGAGGAAAATATTAATTAGAAAGGCTTTATTTGTAATTTCTAAAGATGCAATGGCAGAGTTATAAGCAGAAGAATAAAGAATAGAAAGGTATCCAATTAGAGTTCTGAAGAATTTAATATCTCTCAAAAGGGAATATTTTGAACTAAGTGATAGAAACTCCAAATTGTTAGCAAGAGTTTACTCAGAGGAAAAAAAGCAAAAAAAAAAAAAAAAAGACTATAGAGATGACTGAAGATGAAAAAGGTAAAAGAGAAAACTGAGGCATTTCAAGTTACGATGGTTCAGTATACCAATGAAAAAGAAAGAGAAGAGACACTAATCACAAATGAAAAGTGGGGAAAAATTAGACCTGGAGTACTATAAGGTATTTTAAAAGTTTATTTTACCTAAATTGAAGGTTTTATTTAATAAAATGATAGATAGGGAAGAAATTCCCTCATCTTGGAGAGATTTGCTGAATATATTAATTTTAAAACAAGGAAAGGATGTTATGGGTATGGATCATATGGACAAAATTTATTAATAAATCAAGATGCCAAGATATTTACAGATTATTTAGTTAAAAGATTGAATAGTTCTATTGATAAGTAGATTGGGAAAGATTAAAAATGATTTTTCAAGCTGGACAAGTGGCAGATTTAATGAGAAAGGTACTCAATATAA